CAAATCTCCATTACTTATACCGTAATTAAGTGTTTTTCCAATAGAGAAGTGCATTGTATGCGATAATAACCGGTATATTAACCACAAATATACTCACATCGAAAAAGATTATAATTTAGTATTTAATGACTTTGAATGCAAACCATAAGTTTGATTGAGAGGTTTGTCCGGCAATAATGAGATGCAGTGATTGTTTCGCACAACTCATCACTTATTGGTCTCGCGATTCAAATGTAATCATAAATTGTATTCAAAATTTGAATTTTAAATCACAATTGCATTCAATTTAACCGTTTTATCAATATTTTGATCTCAATTTGCATTTGCCTTAAAAAGCATTGAATTTTGTCACAAAAAACCTTTTATTCAATCTCTGGTTTTGAATCCCTTATTGTCCGCGTATTTCTTGTGTCCCATTCCTCTCGCTATCCATAGGTTTCTGAAGTCGGGAACCAATTTGTGTGACAACTCATCACTCATTTCATTAACTTTTATATTTTATATAAACAGAAATCCATTGACAACTTCGATAACCACTTCGACGGTGAAGTAGACGCCTCAGCGATGGCCACATTTGACAGCTATTATCCGCGAAACAACACCGGTCTTCGCGAGTGTCCGTTCGACGCCAACCATAGGGTCAAAGACAGCAAATACGCCAAACATGTGCTCAAATGTGAACAACGGTTCCCGAATCACGTCCGACGAGTCAACGCAAGCGCTGGTCGCCAACCGGTGTTCGCGTCCATGGATTCGATCGATTCGGGTCTTAACAGCACTTCAGTGGACACGAACGGCGGCCGCGGCAGCGCTGCCGACACCTCGAGCCTCACTAACGCCATGAGTCGTATGAATGTCGGCGACGACGACAGCGACGACCTGTGGTGGGCATCGGATCCGCACAGCAGTCAAGCGACTGATACCGAAGTAATCGCCGATTCAGCCGTTGAGATGAATGAGGAGTCGTCTAAAGGATCGTCGCATTTGTATCAAGAGATTGAATCCGACTCACGAACGGAGACCGCGAGTCACTCGTCAGCCAATGTATCGCAAACTGCGTCCCAATCGGTGGCCAAACGCGTGATTGAAGGCAATTGTCTGCAAAGCGAAGATCTGGCGGACGGCGAAGACGACAGCGCCGGAGATGCCGACGATTGGACGGGAGGAGAGGTTTTTGATTTATTTGATCCGAACGTGGATTACCATAACCTGACTGAAGAACAGTTGACCGAATTGAGTGAGACTTTTGTGGATCCGATATTATTGGCCGCAATGGACAAAAGCCAACGCAAGAGATTGTATCACAAAATGAATGAAATGAGATGCGGACACAAAGA